GCCCAAGCACTTGGGCCATCCTCCACTGCCTTCCCGGGCCAAAGCAGAGAGCTGGCCTGGAAGAGGGGCAACCGGGACAGAATCCCGCGCCCTGACCAGGACTAGAACCTGGGGTGCCAGCGTCGCAGGCGGAGGATTAGCCTATTGAGCTGCGGCGCCGGCATTGCTCCACTTCTGATCCAGCTCTATGTTGTGGCCTGGGAAAGCAGTAGGAGATGGCCCAAGTCCTTGGGCCCCTGCACCTGTGTGGGAGACCCAGAAGAAGCTCCTGACTTTGGATCAGCACAGCTCCAGCCATGTGGCCATCTGGGAAGTCAACCAGCAAATGGAAGACCTGTCTCTCTCTCTCTGCCTCTCTGTAACTGCCTTTCAAAAGTAAATAAAAAAGAATCAGTGTCCACCATGTGTTGGCCTGTTCCACACTGAGGACCCTGGCGTGAGGCTGTACCTGGTCACCGCCCATAGCTGTTCCTGGCACATGAACTCCTTGCAGTAGAAACTGCATCTTGAAAACAAGATGGGTTAAGCAAAGTTCCTTAGATGAAATGACAGAGGGTAGATCAGAAGCGGATTCCTAAAGGGGAAACACCCTTGGCCTTAAAGGTGTGCATTAGGTAGGGCGACCACACACTTGTCCCTGTGTGGGTCCTGACGTCAGGGTCTCTGGGACAGCCAAAGCTGCAGGAGTCCCATGCCAAGGTGTTCTCCAGGGCCCTGCATCCAGCATCCGTGGAAATCACTAGAAGCGACTGCATTCCCTACAAGCCTGGCTTTGTGTCCATGGACCTGGAGGCAGGTGAGCTCCTGGGGGGAGAGCGGTCACCTCAAGCTGCCTGCCTGGTCCCAGGCCACCCGAGCTTTCCTCACCCTCCGCCAGAGGTCACCCCGTGCTGAGACTCAGTCCCAGGCCGTGTCCCCACTGAGCTTTGGCCTGCGTCCCGGGTTCGCAGTTGTGATTTATTTTTGGCACGTCAGTCTTCCGTCATCAAGGAGCAGAAACCAAAAGAAGACCAACAAGATATCTGACTCTGGCCACAAGTGTCTGCTGGGGACACGGCTTCAGCTCTCTCCTGTCCCTTCTCCCTAAGGGGCTCTGGGACCTTTGGGATTCTCGTCAAGCTCATTCCGGGACCTGCAAGGACCTAACGGTGAGTTACCAGGCCTGGGACGGACAAAAGCCAGGTTTGGTGGCAGGGAGATGGAGGGGGTGTGGGGGATAGAAGACAGAGACCGCCAGATCCATCAGATGATTTTCTCTGTCCTTACTAAAAGGCAGGTGACCCTGGGAGTGTGGCAGCATTGACCCTTGAACCCCCACCCCCTCCCTAGGGGAGAGTATTCGACAGCAAATGAGTCCCTGCAGCTGTGTTTTGGACTTGGGCTTGGGGACGCGGTGCTATGTTACAGAAGGACCAGGACTGGAGTCCTCAGGTTCTCCAGAGAGGTTCTGGGAAAGACAGATGGGGCAGCAGACAGAAGCACAACACTGGCCCCAGATGAAGAAGATGTGGCAAGATAAACACACCCGCTTCCGCACCCAGAGGGAAGGTGAATGCCGCTACGACTTGGCCAACCCAATTGTACAGGGAATGGCGTCCCGGGGGCCCAGAATGGCATCCTGGCACGGGTCCAGGTGGACCCTCTAGCCATGGAGGGCTGGGGAAAGGGAGGAGCCCCAGGCTGCTGTTTTGGGAGGTGAGGCACGCTGATGCCCATCTTGGGAACTTGGAAACACTTGCCAGGAAAACGGAGGGCTCCACCAGGGTTGCTGACGGAGCAGGAGAGGCCTCTGTGCAGCCCAGGCGCCGGCTGCTGACAGAGGACACTGTTGTTATTCTCAGCCTTCCTCCGGTAACCAGGCACCCAGTAGTGGTGACACCAGGCTTCCTGGAACAGCCGGCCTGAGTCCCGAGGCAGCCAGGGCTGCTGCTTGGCTGGTCAGCAAACTGGCCCCATGAGAGATGCCAAGAAGGGTGGTGTGAGTGGGGCGAGGGGCAGCTTCGGCCCCGCGGAGTGGCAGCCTGTGCCTGCTTTCCATATGTTCCTATTTCTGCTGGTGGATGAATTTCTGCCTTTCTCAATGCTGCATCTGGGGGAGGGAGGGGTTCAGTTCCTCAGTAGGAGCCTTTCTGATCCTGATGCAGACGGGCCAACTCAGCTCCTCTGTGTCCAGACCTGAGCTTCCTGGCTCTGTATCTCACTGGCCATCTGGCCACCGTTAGGTAGAATGAGGGCATCCTACCTGTAGGACCTTGGAACAATGGGAGAGGACCCCGGACCAACAGGATACCTGCCTGGCTACTACTGGCTCACATCTAAGGAGAAGCACCTGCTCCATGTGTGTACAGAGGGCAGAGAGGGCTAGGACGTCCAGGGGAGGCCATCTTCTGCTGGAGGAGATGACCCACATGCCCTGGAGCCACAGACCAGGGCTCACCCACCCAGCTCCACCTCCCTCAGAGCGGTGCTGGGAACACACTCAGAGCGGTGTGCAAGTGAGGGCTTGCGAAAGACCTGGTTATGGACAGAACGAGTGAGGAAGGAACTGAGGTAGGAGGGCTGTTCCCAGGGCGGGGTGGTGGGGTGGTGGTGGGTGGGTCAGGGGTGGAGTAGTGCTGAGGGAGGAGGGGAGAGGACATCAGAGTGGCATATTGAAAATAAGATGCTTCCAGGCCGGCGCCAAGGCTCACTAGGCTAATCCTCCACCTAGCGGCGCCGGCACACCGGGTTCTAGTCCCGGTCGGGGCGCCAGATTCTGTCCCGGTTGCCCCTCTTCCAGGCCAGCCCTCTGCTGTGGCCAGGGAGTGCAGTGGAGGATGGCCCAGGTGCTTGGGCCCTGCACCCCATGGGAGACCAGGAAAAGCACCTGGCTCCTGGCTCCTGCCATCGGATCAGCGCGGTGCGCCGGCCGCAGCGCGCCAGCCGCGGCGGCCATTGGAGGGTGAACCAACGGCAAAGGAAGACCTTTCTCTCTGTCTCTCTCTCTCACTGTCCACTCTGCCTGTCAAAAAAAAAAAAAAAAAAAAAAGAAAAGAAAGAAAGAAAATAAGATGCTTCTTGCCTTTCCCCCAGGGGCAGCCAGCAGGACTAGTCTCTGTCTCTCCAGCCAGGAAAGACAATGGCATTCCAGTTTCCCCTCTGCATTTTTCTTAGTGTTTTTTTTTTTTTTTTTTTTCCCCCTCAAAGCAAGGGGTGTGCTGGCCACATCAGAGCCAACCCCGGGGCCTATCTCCTGCCTGGGACTGGTTGGTTATCCGCTGCCTGCTCCTGGGACTGTTGCGAGCTATGTGGGCCACTGGGGGGGGGGGGGTAGTTGTCCCAAGAGAATGCAGCTGATGGGACAAAGAAGCAAGCCTGGCTTTTTCCAAAACTCCAGGCAGTGAGGGTGAGGAGAATCTGGGAGGAGGAAAAACTGGCATTTCCGGGGAAGGGCTGGGAAGCCAAGGCTGGCTGAAGGGAACATTCGCTACTTCCAGCTCTCAAGGTGCACGTCTCCGTGTCTGGACAGTGGAGAGCTTCTTTCTGCTTCCCTCTCAGAGCCCCCGAGGAGCTGAGCATGACCCGCGACGCGGCACTGCCTGGCTCTCACTCCACACATGGCTTCTACGAGAATTATGAGCCCAAGGAGATCCTGGGCAGGTAAGGGCCAGGCTTTCCCTGGGAGATGCTGTCCTGGGCTCATGCAGGCTCCACAGGTGGCAGCCATCTGTGCTAGCCTCAGGTCTATGCCCCAAGAGTCTGTGCATTTGTTGAAGCACTCAGTACGGAGTTGTGCCCCCTGCCCCTGATGCCAGGGCAGGCAGGAGGGGTCAGAGGTGAGAGACATCTCCCTACAAGAAGCTCCAGGTGCTTGGGTAGGCGTTGTGGTGCTGCAGGTTAAGCTGCTGCTGGGGTGCCAGTTTAAGTCCCGCCTACTCCGCTTCCGATCCAGCTTCCTGCTCATGTCCCTGGGAAGCAGCAGGTGATGATATGAATATTTGGGTCCCTGCTACCCAGGAGGGAGACCAGAACAGAGTTCTGGGCTCCTGGCTTTGACCTGGCCTATTGTGGAATCAACAAGCAGGTGGAAGCACGCTCTCTCTCTGCCTTTTTTTTTTTGTCAGGTAGAGTTATAGACAGTGAGAAAGAGACAGAAAGGTCTTCCTTCCCTTGGTTCACTCCCCTAATGGCCGCCACGGCCAGCACTGCCCTGATCCGAAGCCAGGAACGGGGTACTTCCTCCTGGTCTCCCATGCGGGTGCAGGGACCCAAGCACTTGGGCCATCCTCCACTGCACTCCCGGGCCACAGCAAAGAGCTGGACTGGAAGAGGAGCAACCGGGACTAGTACCTGGTGCCTCAACCAGGACTAGAACCTGGGGTGCCCGCGCCGCAGGCGGAGGATTAGCCAAGTGAGCCACGGCGCCAGCCCTCTCTCTGCCTTTCAAGTAAAATAAATAAGTAAATATTTGTGTTTTTTTTTTTTTTTTTAAAAAAAACCAAGTGCCATTGACAAGCATTTCCAAACCTAGCTTTAGGCCAGGGTTGGGGTGAGAGATCAGAGGGAAGGCTGTGGCCCTGAGCATACCTCTTCTTTCTATGTGCTGAGAAAAAGCAATGAACCAGGAGTCTCCAGGCCTGAGACCAGCCTTGTCCTCCTCAGCTCTGGGCAAATCACTCCTCAGGGCCCTTACATCTCCATCCCACCATTCCCCAAGGTTCACAGGAGGAGGTGTCAATCCCTGCTGGGGCTTGGGGTGGGTCCCTTAGGCCATCTGTCCTTTGCACCCCCAGAGGAGTTAGCAGTGTGGTCAGGCGCTGCATCCACAAGCCCACGTGCAAGGAGTATGCCGTGAAGATCATTGATGTCACTGGTGGAGGCAGCTTCAGCGCTGAGGAGGTGCAGGAGCTGCGAGAAGCCACGCTGAAGGAGGTGGACATCCTACGCAAGGTCTCGGGGCACCCCAACATCAGTGAGTGTCGGCCCCGGGCCACGGCAGGGTGCTCGGCTGGGATTCCACCTGATACCCCCAGTCAGGGAGTGCGGCCCCGCTGCATGGCCAGCTAGAACCATCCAGAGAGTGTCACCTGTCCCCTGAGGCTCCATCAGCTCAGGGCTGGGGTTGGGGACAGATGCGGGAATGGGAGTTTGAAGGCTCCGGGCCTGTCACACCCCAGGCTGACTTCATGTGGGCACCATCCTGACCGCCCCCCTCCCCCCATGCCCTCAGAGAATGAAATCAGCTCAAGGAAACCTTAATCCCCTTGTCCCTGCTACTTGAGACGAGCCAGCCATTTCCCTTTCAGTACAGCTGAAGGACACTTATGAGACCAACACTTTCTTCTTCTTGGTGTTTGACCTGTAAGTACCCAGCCCCGGAGCCAGTCACATCCTGGGGACGATCTGGGAACCACCTACTGTGGTCCTCCCACCCAGTGCAGCGCCCCCTGCCCCGTGGATGCCAAACAGGATCTCAGATGCTACAGGCAGGATCAGCCCCTGGGGTCAGGCTGCCAGGCTTTGAAACCCCAGACCACCAATCATGGCCTGGACAACTTCAAGGATCTGTTTTCTCAGTGGTTGTTATGGAAATGGTAGCATGGTGACTGGCACGATTAGCCATGTGAATTATTGACAATGATGGTGGCAGGTCACTTGGTTATCATCTCAGCACCCAGGACACAGCAGTGAGAGAGACAAACATGGTCCCTGGCTTGTAGCTATGTACAAGTACACAGGTGCACGAGGCGGAGGAGCAAGTCCCCGGTGTTAGACGGCAGACTGACTGCAGTTCGCAGCATCCCAGTATACATTTATGAGCCAGTAGAGGCGAGCTCCAAGGCTCCTGCATTAAATTATGTCTAAGAAGGGGAAATGCTGCTTACACAACTGTATACATGGATTGAAATGTTATCTGGTAGCTCACCCATATGTACAAGTGTTGTCAATTTGGGCAAACAAAATAGCCAGAACAAAAAGCTAGAGATAGGAGCTTCCTTAGAGCTCAGGGGTGGCCTGGATGAAGCTATGGAAGCAAGAGTGGAAAGGGAGGATGGGATGGAGGAGAGAGGCAGGCCGTAGAGGCTGCAAGTGGAGTGTATCCCAGAGATTCTCACCACCATCACCACCACCATTGTTCCCTTGCTTCCGCACCAACAGGGGTGGGGAGATGAGCTCCATTGTCAAGTGTGCACAGAACGAGGCGTTCTGTGAACTGGGTGTTCAAGACCCATCATCACCACCAGTCTCGTTGGAAAAGGCTCCCAGGGAAGGGTTAGTCTCTGCTTGTGACACGAATCCCTGTAGTGGAGGTGTCTTGATTTCTCCATACCTAAGCTAATTTAGGGACTGGATTTACTTGAGAGACCTATTCATATTCCCTCCACTTTTGCCCGAGGAATCCCACTGTTTTCCCTGGAGGGCTGGGTTGGGGGAGATGGTGTAGGGGAGAAGACAGGAGGAACCTTTGCCTGTTTATCCCAGGGAGCCCTTTCAGTGACCCCTCCAGACTCCAGCAGCTGCAGCTGTCCCGACTCTGCTCAGTGGCACTGTCCTACACAGCCCTTGCAGGCAGCTCAAATGTCCTTAACCTTTGAAGCTGCTTGGGGAAGCTCTTTTTTTTTTAATGCTACCAGGGTGTGACTAGATTGTTCTAGGAGAGACCTCTTTTTAGATCTTTCCAAGAAGTAAGAGGAACCTGCAATTCCTCTTCCTCTAACAAGCAAACTTGTCCCTCCTACACCTGCAGGGCGGAGCCCTTCCATTCATCCCAGGGGAGAGCCAGGACACTGTGTCTTTCTAATTTGGTTCTGGGGCCCTGGGCCAGTGGCTCAGGCTCCCCTCTTTCATTCCCCACCCTGATTTAGGCCCAGACCCCCATCCATGATGTCAGCTACACAGGTTGGGGGGACTCCCCCTACTCACTGGGGAGCATTCCACCTCTCCAGCCTCCTTAGTCTTCTGCCAGTCCCTCCCAGACAGCTTCAATCTCGCTTCCCCAGACCTTGGTCCTTCATGGGGAGTCGCCCACTTGTCTCTGGAAGTATTGGGGTGGGGAACTGCTGTCAGGGCCCCTGGGGGAGGACGGCATTGGCTTGGGACCAACTCAGCTGTTCCCACAGGATGAAGAAAGGGGAGCTCTTTGACTACCTCACTGAGAAGGTCACCTTGAGTGAGAAGGAAACCCGGTGAGGGTCCATCTCCCCGAGGCCTGGGGTGGGAGGGTGGGCCGCTGGCTTTGGAAGCCTTCCTCTCTCCTTGGCTCCAGCTCCAGCCTGTCCAGAGTCCTCCCTCACTCACATCTTTTCTACCCTAGAAAAATCATGAGGGCCCTGCTGGAGGTGATCTGCGCTTTGCACAAACTCAACATTGTGCATCGGGACCTGAAGCCCGAGAACATCCTCTTGGATGATGACATGAACATCAAGCTCACAGACTTCGGCTTTTCCTGCCAGCTGGACCCCGGAGAGAAGCTGCGAGGTCCAGCAACAGGGCCTTGGCCCAGGCCAGGGGCTCAGGCTCTCATTAATTCCCCCAGGAACAGAAATGGCCTGGGTTTCTCCCCTAGCATTCCCCACCCCTCCCCTGGCCCAACCCCAGAATAAGAATCCCACAATTCCAGGCAGAGTTATCTTCGGGCTATTTTTCTTCCCGGGATTCTCAGCTGAGCCAGGTTCCCATGGCCTGAGTTCCATGCAAGCATGGCTCCAAGTAACCAGGAACCCAAAGGGCCCTGTGCTGGGTGCCCCATGAGCCATTCCCTGCCCGTGCCCTTGGCTCTGACTTTGGCCAATGTCAGCCGGGTCCCAGCCCAAGCAACCATTTCTGTTCCATCTCCTCTTGTGTCTCCCTGGCTGGCCCGTCCTGATGGTACCTATTCCTGCAGAGGTCTGTGGGACCCCCAGTTACTTGGCTCCTGAGATCATCGAGTGCTCCATGAATGACAACCACCCAGGCTATGGGAAGGAGGTGGACATGTGAGTGTGTGGAGGAGGCGGGGAGGGAACAGCAGGAGCTACAGAGGGGCCCCTCCTGTACTCCCCCCACCCAGGCTGGGTGTGGTAAGTGGCCCTTGCACATCCTAGGTGGAGCACAGGGGTCATCATGTACACCCTGCTGGCCGGCTCCCCGCCCTTCTGGCACCGGAAGCAGATGCTGATGCTGAGGATGATCATGAGTGGCAACTACCAGTTTGGCTCACCGGAATGGGATGATTACTCCGACACGGTCAAGGACTTGGTGAGGGGCCAGGCCTGCTGGCTTCTGGGTTCACACGAGGGTGCAAAGTCCGAGGTGGGAGGGAGCTACCGGAGAGACCTGCCCCCATCCCCGCGAACTCTGAAACGCGAGGGGACAGACACCGCTGCCTTGATGTCCTCAGCCCCCCTCCTTTTCGCCCCCAGGTTTCTCGCTTCTTGGTGGTCCAGCCCCAGAAGCGCTACACGGCTGAAGAGGCCCTGGCACACCCCTTCTTCCAGCAGTACGTGGTGGAGGAAGTGCGCCACTTCAGCCCCCGGGGGAAGTTCAAGGTACTGAAGCTGCCCGGGCCCAGGGCGCAGAGCAGCCCTTGGCTCAACTCCCCTTCCTCCCCGCTCCACCGCCCCTCCCAGCCCCCAACAGAGGTCTGTACGCCCCTGAGCTTCCTGAACGCCAGCCCCACTCCTCCCCTGACAGTTCCAGAGCCATTTCTGCCGTCATAGAAGGCGGATGTCACCTGACCGACTCCATCGGCCTAATGGGCACCGGTGGCCTGGGAATTGGGCGGGGGACACTCCGGAGGACACAGCAGAAGCACCCCCCACTCCAAGCCCAGGGTCTACAGGGGGTGTCTCGTCTCGGCCCTCTGCAGGTGATCTGCCTAACCGTGCTGGCTTCGGTGCGCATCTACTACCAGTACCGCCGGGTGAAGCCCGTCACCAGGGAGATCGTCATCCGGGACCCCTACGCCCTCCGACCTCTGCGCCGCCTCATCGACGCCTACGCTTTCCGAATCTACGGCCACTGGGTGAAGAAGGGGCAGCAGCAGAACCGGGCTGCCCTCTTTGAGAACACCCCCAAGGCTGTGCTCTTCTCGCTGGCTGAGGATGACTACTGAGGGGGCAGGCACGCGGGGGAGGCATGAGGCCCCCGCCAGGAGCCCCCTCCCCGGGTGCTGAAGCCAGCGATGGACGGACCCCGACCCCGGGCCAGGCGCCATTCCTGAGGAGGGAGGACCAGATGCGGTCCGGGGGCAGAGCCCTTGCTTCGTGGGAGGCGCAAAATCTCTAACACCCCTGCTGCTGTCTTCCCTGATTCCCAGGGCGAGGCTAAAACACGGGACATGTTTAGAGATGCGCAGTCACACGATGTGCACTGGCATCCGGGGACTTGGTCCGAGAGGCCCAGGGAAGCCCTTAGGTATATTAGCAATAGAAGAGGAAGCTTCTGATACTTCCTCTGGAGCGTTATTTACTTTGTGACTCCCACGGTGCACTGCTTCTCCTGGTCCTTTGGGTCTCCCAGGTCCCCCGTGAAGACTGACGCTGTCCTGTCAAGAGCCACCGTGGTGCATTTTACACGTGGAGAAAAATCACGGTTCTTCTCAGGGGCATGAAACGCCACAGAGGAGGCCAATGAAATTGCATCTTCCTCCTACAGCGGTTTTCTGGGAAAACAAAGAAATGGGGACACCCTGCCTTGAGAAAACACTTGTCAGATCCCTAAATCAGACCGGAAGGGGGAGGGAGCAGATTTAAACATTTTTAACAAACCGTCTTCCACCGCTTTCTGTTCCAACTCTTTGCATATTGGGCCACCGCCTCATTAATTCGTAGCCTCTACAAACAGCACCCAGCTCCCAGCCAGAGTCAGGGTCGCTGGGTTGGACTGTGGCAGGCAGCCCTCCTCCGAGGCTGAGATCCCCTTTGGCCCTGGGGAGAGGTGTCTGCCACAGAGGGCGGGGGTGGAGGGAGGACTGGGCTCACTCCCCCGCTGAAGTCACAGAGCCTGGCCTGCCGCGGTGTTCAGACCCAAGGACACAGGTACCCTGGGGCCCTCTTCCTGGCCACTGCAGTCACTGCATCGCTGTTCACAGCTCCCCAGGGGGTCGGCCAGCACCGGAAGCACAGCGGAAGCTCAGGTTGTCCGAGGCTGAATCGGGAGTGTTGCCCATCCTGGATCCATCCGAGAAGGGGAGAGAGAGTGGACATGTGCTGAGAACGAGGCCTCAGGCCTTACCCAGCTTCCCCGCCCAACCACCAGAGCCTGCTATTTGTGTGTGTGTGTGTGTGTGTGTGTGTGTGTGTGTGTGTGTGTTGGTCTGGGAAGAAAGCCTGGTGAGGACAGGTCCTGGGCTTGTGCCATGCCTAGGGGACAGGAGTCAAGAAGGGGCTTCGGGACACAGTGAGGGAAGTGAGATCGTCCTGAGAGATTGCACTGGAGGGCAGGAAAGATGGTGACTAATAATTTCTATAACTCAGCTGGAAAAAAAAAAAAAACCCTTTGGCAAGAAACAGGAACATCGTGGTACTAGTCAGAACCTTACATTTTTCCAGAAGCTTTCTCAGATCGTCCCTCATTTATCCTTTCCCATCTGCTGTGGGAGGCAGAACCTGTTTACCACTTTACAGATCCAGAATCAGAGAGACTGGCTCGTCTTGCCCAAGGCCAGCCACTGCTTCAGGGCAGAACAGGATGAGCAACTAACCCAGCTCCCTGGTGCCCAGGCAGGTTGGTACTTTCTTACTACTTGGTTCCCAGAGGGGAGGAAAGGAAAATCCAGCGGTTTCCATGAGTCAGAGACACCTGTGCAATCCTGAGGTCCTCAAGCCCCAGGAACAGTGGACCCCCTAGGTCTTTTTGGGTGGAAGACAGAGATCAACCACAGAAATCTGCAGATGGATGAGGTAGGAAGAGTCCCAGAGGGTCACTCAGAACTGGACCATGGAGCTGCTACCGCTAGCCATCTGTGGGGAATGAGCAGGCCCCAAGATGTCACTGAGCCTTTTGGTCCTTGATTATAAAACCAAATGATTGTGAAGGATGATATATTGGGTGCCCACCACTTTGAATAATTCCATGACCACCGGGCAATGACTTACTGATGCGGCCACTGCACTTCCCTCCTGGTAGTGAGGATAAGAGGAGAAACTCACATAATGAAGAGCCTGAGCATACAGTCTCCCGTAGTGCCAAGAGCTGGCAGGATAAGGTCCCAGCCATCCCGAACCCTTTAGCTTTTCATGATGAGCACTGCTCGATGTCTTTTCTGTACCCACAACTCTCAGTAGAGGCAGGGGTATGAAAGCAGCACCAGCCCCCACTCTGGTGCTGCCTGTGTGCCCCAGGAGCCCAGGATCTAGATGCTCAGCCCCCAGATCCTTGGACCAAGCCCCTCACCTGGTGGTAACCCGGGCCCGGTGATTGGCGGAACCATCGGCCGTGTCGATCCACGATGCCCCCCGGAGCACGCGCATGTCCTGGTCAGCGGCCGGGTATGTAGATGCTGTCCACTCCCACACGTTGCCCATGAGGTCATACAGCCCTGCAGCATGGCCAGCGGGTCAGTCCCAGGCCTGGAGGCACCAGACCTACCTCTCCTGTCCGTCACAGACTCTGGAAGAGCAAATGCTGGCGCCGGGCAGAACAATCTTACTAACATCTGTGAGCACGGGAGACCTTACCATAGTTATTCTGCGGGGGGAAAGCATTCACGGGGGAGACTCCGTGGAAGCCGTCCTCAGCTGTGTCGCCCTTGGGGAACTGTCCCTGTGGGAGAAGTTAAGGCTGAAGGATTCGCCTGTGTGTCCCATGGCCCGGCTCACCGTTCTGTATAAGCTGGTGCAGGGGAAGACGTGGGGGCAGTGAGCCAGGCTTCTATCCTGAGCTCCTACACCAGCTCCCTCCGTGCCCCATCATGACCTCCAGCCTGGCCCAGGAAGAGCACGTGCCTGGGTGGTCTGTGGCAGGCCCAGCCCACTCCTGCTTTTTCTGCTCTATGCTATTTCCTCCCCTTGGTCTCCAACTCTGCATGCCAGGGTCCCTCTGGGAAGAGAGGCCACTCTTCCTTTCTTGCATGTCCTGAACCCTCTGCCTGAGCATGGGTCACTGCTGCCTTTTCGGGAACCACTGACGTCTGTCCTGTGCCCTCTATTGCCACCAGCCTCATCTCCCTTTGATCTACCCTGACTCCACCTTCCCTGTCTCCTGCTCTCTCCCACTGGAATTCCTGGAAAACCAACCTGTATTTGTTGACACAGTTTGTTCACCTTGTTCGTTTAAAATCAGGGCTCAGCTGCCACTACCCTAAGGCAGTTGCTCTCACAAAAAGATGAATGGGGCCGGCGCCGCGGCTCACTAGGCTAATCCTCCGCCTAGCGGCGCCGGCACACCGGGTTCTAGTCCCGGTCGGGACACCGGATTCTGTCCCGGTTGCCCCTCTTCCAGGCCAGCCCTCTGCTGTGGCCAGGGAGTGCAGTGGAGGATGGCCCAGGTGCTTGGGCCCTGCACCCGCATGGGAGACCAGGAAAAGCACCTGGCTCCTGGCTCCTGCCATCGGATCAGCGCGCTGTGCCGGCCGCAGCGCGCCGGCCGCGGCGGCCATTGGAGGGTGAACCAACGGCAAAAGGCAAAAGGAAGACCTTTCTCTCTGTCTCTCTCTCTCACTGTCCACTCTGCCTGTCAAAAAAAAAAAAAAAAAAAAAAGATGAATGGAATGGGGATTATAATTTATTCAATACTACTATGTGCTAGGGTCGCTGTATTTGCCTCTTTTAAGTTAATCTTCATAATAGTATGGGACAGGTATTGTCTCCACTTAAAAAACTGGCAACTGAGGCCTACGTTGTGCACAGTGGGCTAAGTCAGTTTCCATCCCATTCCACATCAGAGTGCTCATTCAAGTCCTGGCTACTCCTCTTCTGATCCAACTCCCTGCTAATGGGGGGAGGGGGAGCAGCGGAGGACGGTCTGAGTGCTCAGGCCCCTGTCACCCATGTCGGAGGACACAGATGGAGTTCCAGGCTCTTTAGGTTCAGCCTGACCCAAACCTGGCTGTTGTGGTTATTTGGGAAGTGAACTAGCAGATGGAAGATCTCTTTCTCTCTCGCTCTCTGCCTTTCAAATAAATAAGCTTAAAAAAATTAAAAAGTTGGCAACTAAGGCTCAAGCAGGCAGTAACACTGCTCAGATCAGTTAGTCAGATCTTTCCGCAAAGCTCTGGCTCTAAGCCAAGGTCATCTGAAAGGTCAGCCTGATCCTCAGGCCCCTTTTGCTGCTCCCCCTCAAACACTGGTGCTGAGCTGCCCGCTGTGGATGGTCACTCTGGGGATATCATTCTTGCCAAGGTACATGCTGATGACTCCCAAACCATTTGCTGTGACCCAGGCTGCTGTCCTCAGCTTTAGGCTGTTTTCTACTCTGGCTGGGCAAATGCCAAATGCACTGTGACCCTAAATGACCCAAGCCCTACCCCTGACCCTGACAAGCGTCTTTGCTCTGCTGGACAGTGGCAGCGCCACCACCATGCTGCCTGAGCTTGGATTCATGCTGGACTCCACCTCTCTACCAAACCCTGGCCATCTTCTCAGGCTTCCTCTCTTGCTTGCATTCCCATTTAATTCGGGGGTGGAGAACTTCCTGGGGCCATGGCCACAACCTCCAACTCAAAGACTCCCCGTCCCCAGTACAGCTCAACTTCCATCTGGTCCTGTGCAAATTAGCATCCCCCACCCCAGTCACTCAGCCAGTGCCGGGTATCTCTTACCTGCCACAGATTGGTGCGATTCGGCTGGAATCGGTTCCCCCAGGGGTAAACCTGACCTGCCAGGAGGGCAAGGGGCGGGGGAAGAGGGAGAGGTGAAGGGGTGGGCGGAGCGAGGGAATCAAAAGTTAGGAGGTAGGGAGAAAAGCAGAGGGAGGTTACTTTTATCTCCCCTGCCCATCGCCTGCACTCACTGTACGGCACTAGGGCCCCTGGCCGCCTGACCTGCCCCAGGACAGTGCAATTCTAAGCGTGGTTCTCAGAGCAGTGGCACTTTGTGAACTATTTGCTACCAGCTAATGTCAGGAAAAGCTCAGAAACTGAGCGTTAAGCATTAAGAAACTTGTCAGGGCCAGGTGCTGAGGTGTAGGAAGTTAAGCTGCCACTTGGGATACCCACGTCCCATATCAGAGTGCCTGCTGGAGTTCTGGCAGATCCACTTCTGATTCAGCTTCCTGCTAATGCATCCTGGAAAGCAGTGGATGATGGCCCAGGTGCTTGGGTGCCACCCATGTGGGAAACCCAGATGGAATTCCTGGATCCTGGCTTCAACTGGCCCAGTTCTTGCTATTGCAGGCATTTGGGGAGTGAATGCAAGATAGCTCTTTCTCTCTCTCTCCCCTTCTTCTCCTTCTCCTCCATCATTTTGCCTTTCAGGTAGATTAAAATAAATCAACTTTGGGGCTGGCTTTGTGGTGTAGCAGGTAAAGCCACCACCTGCAGTGCAGGCATCCCATATGGGCGCCGGCTTGAGTCCTGGCTGCTCCACTTCCTATCCAGCTCTCTGCTATGGCCTGGGAAAGCAGTAGAAGATGGCCTAAGTTCTTGGGCCCCTGCATCTGTGTGGGAGATCCAGAAAAAGCTCCTGGCTCCTGGCTTCAGATCAGCACAGCTCCAGCCATTGCAGCCTTCTGGGAAGTCCACCAGTGGATAGAAGAGAGTTCCTCTCTGTAACTCTGCCTTTCAAATAAATAATCTTTTTTTTTAATCACTTTTTCTAAGAAAGAAAGTTGTTCATTGGACCTACACTGTGTAATCAAACAGGCAGGAAACAACCTCACTAGTCATATTAAAAACTTTGACCATTGATATACCAGGTGTTCATTCAAGGAGAGCATACAGGGGTTTAATGTGGGCAATTGCTTTCCACTCACATGACGTTTTATGTATTCAAGACTACAAAATGACAAACTTTGAGTGAAAAGTGATTCATTTTATCAATCCCAGCTCCCCCATGGAAAAGGTATGTAATTCTAGTAATTCTTTCTCCCTGTGTAATGTTGTGCTACTTATACTGATTGAAATGTAACTCAGAGGGGCTGGCATTGGGGTACAGCAGGTTAAGCTGTCGCCTACAATGGCAGCATTGCATATGAGTCCCAGTTTGAGTCCTAGATGCTCCACTTCCAGTCCAGCTCACTGTCATACACATGGGAAAGCAGTGGAAGATGGCCCGAGTACTTGGGCCCTTGCCTCCCTGGTGGGAGACTAGATGGAATTCTAGGCTCCTGCCTTGGCCTGGCCCAGCCCTAACTGTTGTGGCCATCTGGAGAATGAACCAGCAGATACAAGATATTTCTCTCTCTCTCTCTCTCTTTCTCTAACTCTGCCCTTCAAATAAGTAAATAAGTCTTAAAAAAGAAATGTAACTAATACTTATAGAATCTCCAACAACAGAAAATGTTTATGTCTGTTTGCATTCTGGTTTCCCAGTTATTAACATTTATGGTATTTTACAGATGTACTGTTCTGAGATAGATCAGAAATAAAAACATAACCACTGGCCCTTCACCACAGCGAGTTTAAATAGCACTGCTTTGGGAACATGGACCCCCTCCCGCTTTAAAGTCCCCCATGCAGGGCAGGATGGGGAGAAGAAACAGCAATCGCCTTGGCAACTGTATACCCTTCAAGCCCCCTCGGGCAGCAAACTCCCACTCTTCCTCAGTGGGCAGCCGTTTCCCTCGCCAAGCACAGTAGGCACGAGCGTCATTCCAGCTCACGTGTAGCACTGGGAGCTCCAGTCTCTCGCTGATGCCAGAGCCGGGACCTGCAGGCTGACAGCCAGGATGAAGTGAGACGGGCTTCTGGGCGCTCCCGGAAGTGTGAGGACGGCTAGCCTAGGGTGCCAGAGCTCAGCTTCTACCACTAGATGGAGCAAGGAAGTTGCACGAGATGGCTCGGTGAGTGGGGGCCCGCCAGAGCCAGGAAAAAAAGACCACACAGGAGACTACAGGGAGAGACGACGGGACAGGGCCAAGGGAAAAGAAACTGCTTAGCGATTCCCCAGAAGTTCTCATGATCCCATTAAACTCAGCATTCCTGGGTGCACAGGGATCTAAGGAAGCAGGGGTCCCAGAGCCTATCAGGAGAGGAGCCAACCCTTACCTGCCTCCAATATGCCTTTTCCACAGGAAGCCACCAGAGGAGAGACTGCAAGAGAAAAGGAGCGAGTCTGGGAGATTCTGTGATCCAGGAGGCAGAATAGAGAGGCAGGCGGGCCAGGGGAAGCTTGGATGCAATCTCTCCCCTGACTAGAGCGAGGCTTGTGAAGTTCAGAGGCACCCTGAGCACTTCATTTTGCTGGTCTTTATCTGACTACAGCAGAATTGGCTCAGGGCTCACCTCCTGGGACAGCGTGTCTGTCTCTTCCAGGGTGGATTTCTCCTGCTGCCTCTCTGCTCCAGCTCTCGGGTCAGGTTCTGTCCTGTGGCCCAGCTGACCCCTTATCTCACAGGATTCTCTGTCCAGGGCTCCCTCCCTCCCCCTCAGCTGAGTGGACCAGGCTCTCTCACCTGCATCTGCTTTGTCACTTTGTTTCTGAGCTCCTTGGAGACAAAGTCCTCAAAGACAAAGCTCCACCCAAATGCCTCGGCCTCTGTCCGGTACTTCTTCTCCCTGATAAACTCCCTGAAATGAGACAGTTCACCTGGTTCAGCTGCAAGGAATCCATGCCTCATCCTCTCACCCTTCCCTGCTGCAGGAACCTTCATACACCCTTGTCCCGTAAGGCACATACCTCGGAGCTGTTACGACCTGCAAGGAATTCACCTCCACCCTCAGCAGGGGCAGCTTTTCTTTCAAATAAGAACAGAGGTCTCATATAGGGAAAGCCCCCTTTTGGATGTATATCTAGCTCTGTGAGTTCTGACAAAGTGCATGGATAATTCCTATATGGATAATCACTACAGAGATCATCGCCCCAAAAAACTTCCCTGTGCCCCTGCAACCTTTTTTTTTTTTTTGTCCTTATAGTCTTGCCCTTCCCAGAAAGTCACCTAAAGGGACTCATACACAGTACACAGTCCGTTGGGTTGGGCTTCTTTCGCTCAGTAAAATGCATCGGAGCCTCATTCACGCTGTCAGTTATCAGCGGTCTCTGCTTTCTCGTTGAGTATTTCACTGTATGGATACACTATGCTTATGCACTCACCAGCTGAACATCAAGTGAGTTATCTCCAGTTTTTGGAGATTATAAAAAAAGGGAAAAAATCAGGCGTGTAAGGGTGAGGAATGAGACTGTTTTCTGCAAGGTCTTCATCACAGACCTAATCTCTCCCTGTGATCATGGGAAGGCAGGCAGCACTGTTAATCTCCATCTAACGGATGGAAGACAGTGAGCCAAACACAATGACACGCTGAGATGGTAGAAAGGATTTTAATACGGTTGGGTTTGGTTTAGTCAGTTTCAGCAGGCAGACTGCTGGGGTAGGAACGATGATTTTTTCCTGGGCTATGTGTTTCAGGCCTCTGATATGAGAAGTCACTGTTCACTGACCAAAGGGGCTTTGAAAATGGAGGAGGTGACCAGGAGATTCTGTAGCAGTAACTACCAGCCCCAGAGCGTCCGAGCATTAAAAACCATTTGCCAGAGGCAGAGACAGATCATGGGGTTCTAAGCAAAATTTAGGGACCTGTTGGAGGTGATGTCATATTGTTTAATACAGTAGGTCACACTTTGGGATATAAAAGGCATACTGTGCTTCTACCTAGCTGTTTTTGGTTGTCATGATACAGTGCAAGCTTGATCAGAAGTGATTTCTCATCCAATTTTAGTAACTTTCCTGTTAAAATTACTTTAAAAAAGCATGCATGTATAAACAATGCAGACTTTACTATAGAAAAATTAGTACATATAAATAAATTAAAAAATTAGAATCCTGGGCTGACATGGCACAGTGGGTCTAGCCACCACTTGCGATGCCAGCATCCTATATGAGCTCGTTTGAATCCCAGCATCTTTACTTCCTATCCTACTCCTGCTAATGCACCTTGGAAGGCAGCAGAGGACAGCCCAAGTGCTTGGGCCCCTGCCACCCACATGGGAGACCTAATAGGAGCTCTTGGCTCCTGGCTTTGGCCTGACTTAGCTGTGGCCATTGTGACCATCTTGGGAAGTGAACCAGAGACTCACTCTCTCTCTCCTTGTAACTCTTTATTTCAGATAAATAAATCTTTTTTTAAAAAAATTAAAATCAGGGGCTGGCAGTGCAGTGCAGTGGAGATGCTGACATCCTATATCTGAGTGATGGCTTGAGTACCGTCTACTCTTCTTCCCATCCAGCACCCTGCTAATGTATATGGGAAGGCAGCTGAAGATAGCCCAACGAGTTCGGCCTCTGCAACCCACGTGGGAGACCTGGATGGAATTCTGGGCTTTTGGGTTTGGCTTGGATGAGTCCTAGCCATTTGGGGAATGAACTTGCAGATGGAAGATCTGTCTCTCACTCTGTTACTCTTTCAAATAAAATAAATCTTAAAAATAATTTGGGGCCCAGCATTGTAGTACAACTGATTAAGCCACTGCCTGCAATGGGTACCAGTTCAAGTCCCAGCTGCTCCACTTCTGATCCATCTCCCTGCTAATAGGCCCAGGAAAGCAACAGAAGATCACCTAAGTACTTGGACCCCTGCCACCCATGGGAGACCAGATGAAGCTCCTGGCTCCTAGCTTTGACCTGACCCAGGCCCCTGGTCATTGCAGCCATTTGGGGAATGAACCAGAGGATGGAAGATTTTTCTCTTGGTCTCTCCCTCTCTCTGTAACTCTTTCAAATAAATAAATAAATCTTTAAAAGAAAAAAAAAATATGGCTCTTAAGGGACTGACATTGTGGCGCAGGAGGTTAAGCTGCCAACTATCACAAACATACCATATGAGCACCAGTTTGGGTCCTGGCTCCACTTCCAATCCAATTCCCTGCTAACGTGCCTGGGAAAGCAGTGGAAGATGGCCCAAGTGACTGGGTCCCTGCCACTCACATGGAACACCTGCACGGAGTTCCAGGTTCCTGGGATTTGGCCTGGACCAGCCCTGGCTGTTGTGGGCATCTGGGGAGTGAACCAGCGGATGGAACAGCTGTCTCTCCTTCCCTCTGTCACTCTGCCTTTCAAATACATACACACATAAATCTTTAAAACAACAACAAAAAAACCAAAACCAAAACTAAAAACCAATGGAGTCATAAAGACTCAGGGGGCCTGCGCTGTGGCGTAGCTGGTAAAGCCACCATCTGCAGTGCTGGCATCCCATAAAGGCACTAGTTCGAGTCCCAGATGCTCCACTTCTGATCCAGCTCTCTGCTGTGGCCTGGGAAAGCAGAAGATGGCCCAGACGCTTGGGCCCCTGTACCTGCATAGGAGACCACAATAAGTTCCTGGCTCCTGGTTTCAGATTGGCACAGCTCCACTGTTGTGGCCATTTGGGGAGTAAATCAATCTCAATCTCTCTCTCTCTCTCTGCCTCTCTGTAACTCTGCCTTTCAAATAAATAAATAAATAAATAAATCTTCAAACAAAGCCTTTAAGTTGTTTCCCACATCTGCTTTTCCCTTCCCCCCTCCCTCTTCCCTCATTCTCTCCCAACAAGTGTACTTCAAAAAGCTTATGGAAAATGGAATTAAAAGGTAAGTTCACTTTGATGCAAAAATAATTTGAAATCCATGCATGCAAGGGGCTTTTAAAGGGTTAATGGAAAATGCATACTATGAAAAAACTACATGTGGATTTTAAATTTGGGGACCAAAATAAACTTCTCTTTTAATTCCATTTTCCATGAACTTCTTAAAGATTTACTTACTTATTTGAAAGTCAGAATTACAGAGAAAAAGGGAGAAAAAGAGAGACAGAGAGAGATCTTCCATCTGCTGGTTCACTTTCCAAATGGCTGCAATGGCCAGGGTTAGGCCAGGCAGAATGCAGGAGACAGGAGTTTCTTCTGGGCCTCCCACGTGGGTGCAGGAACCCAAGCGCTTGAGCCATCCTCCACTCTTTCCCAGGTGTATTAGTAGGGACCTGGATTGGAAGTGGAGCAGTTGGGATTCAAACCAGTGCCCATATGGGTTCCTGGCAATACAGTGGGCAGTTTAACTTGCTATGCCACAACGCTGGCCTCTCTATGAACTTTTTGAAATACCCTTAAGTATCTAAGACACAAATTCTCCACTCCACCCCTTGCACCTTTGAAGGTAAGCATCAGATTTCTTCTGATAATCTTCACTTTAGCTAACCCAAACATAGGTCCTTGGGGAAACTAAACTGGCTCAACACAGCTTCTCAGACTGAGCTGGAATCACAAAGGTGGACTCCTAAGCAATGCCGTTTCCCTTAGCAAATATGACTTAAATGCAACTTAAAGGGCCGGCGCTCTGGCATAGCGGGTAAAGCCCTTGCCTCCAGTACCAGCATCCCATAAGGGGGATGATTTGAGTCCCGGCCCTTCCACTTCCAGTCCAGTTCTCTGCTATGGCTTGGGAAAGCAGTAGAGGATGGCCCAAGTCCTTGGGCCCTGCACCCATGTGAGAGACCCAGAAGAAGCTCCTGACTCCTGGTTTCTGATCGGGCCAGTTCCAGCCACTTGGGGAGCCAATTGGGGAGTGAACCACTGGGTAGAAGGCCTCTCTCTCTCTCTCTCTCTCTCTCTCTCTGCCTCTCCTCTATGTGTAACTCTGACTTTCAAATAAATAAATCTTTAAAAACAAAAAATGAATGCAACTTAAGTGATTTTCAATGAGTACGACCCCAGTCATTTCCTACCTGGGTTTCTTTTGCTAAAAAGATTTTTTTTTTTTTTTAAAGAGAAAGTTATGTATTTGCATGGCAGAGTAACAGAAAGAAAGAGAGATTTCATCCACTGGTTCACTCCCCAAATGCCCACAACAGCTAGAGCTAGGGCAACCCAAAGCCAGGAGCCAGGTACTGCATCTGGATCACCCACGCTCAAGTGCTTGAGCATTATCTGCTGCCTCCCAAGACATATGAACAGAAAGCTGGATCAGCCAGCACTGCGGCTCACTTGGCTAATCTGCCTGCGGCGCTGGCACCCCGGGTTCTAGTCCCAGTTGGGGTGCCGGATTCTGTCCTGGTTGCTCTTCTTCCAGTCCAGCTCTCTGCTGTGGCCTGGGAAGGCAGTGGAGGATGGCCCAGGTGCTTGGGCCGTGCACCCACACGGGAGATCAGGAGGAAGCACCTGGCTCCTGGCTTCAGATCAGCGCAGCACTGGCCGTGGCGGCCATTTGGGGGGGTGAACCAATGGAAAAAGGAAGACCTTTCTCTCTGTCTCTCTCTCTCACTAACTCTGCCTGTAAAAAAAAAAAAAAAAAAAAAAGGCAAGCAAGCCAGCCAGCCAGCCAGCCAGATCAGAAGCAGGGTATCCGGGGCCGGCGCCGCGGCTCAATAGGCTAATCCTCCGCCTAGCGGCGCCGGCACACCGGGTTCTAGTCCCGGTCGGGGCGCCGGATTCTGTCCCGGTTGCCCCTCTTCCAGGCCAGCCCTCTGCTGTGGCCAGGGAGTGCAGTGGAGGATGGCCCAGGTGCTTGGGCCCTGCACCCCATGGGAGACCAGGAAAAGCACCTGGCTCCTGGCTCCTGCCATCGGATCAGCGCGGTGCGCCGGCCGCAGCGCGCCGGCCGCGGCGGCCATTGGAGGGTGAACCAACGGCAAAGGAAGACCTTTCTCTCTGTCTCTCTCTCTCACTGTCCACTCTGCCTGTCAAAAAATAAATAAATAAAAAAAAAAAAAGCAGGGTATCCGGGACTTGAGCCATCACTCTGACATGGGATGCTGGCATCTCAAGCAGCAGTGTAACCCACTGTGCTGTACGCCCAACTCCCTAGAGGTTTCTTATCAGTGTTTTACTTCTGCACATCTTTCTCAGTGCTCTGCCCAGTGTCAGGGAAAACTGCACTGGCTCAACAATCAAGAGTTTTGAGTTCAGCTCCAGTTCTACCACTGAGAAGATCAGTCAGAATTCTTTGGATTTCAGATTCTTCATCAGAAAAATGCAGATAACACTGCAAAGAAGGTATGTGATGGTAAACCAGATAGCTTCCTTCTGGTTATTAGGAATGAGAATTCGAAAGAGCTTCTACCCCTCCTGGGAAAAGTCCTGATGTACCTGAAATCTTTGTTGGTGACAGGAAATATGTCGATGGCAAAGGGTTTTACTGTCACCTCCCGGACAGGCCCTTCGCCATCTCTGCCATCTGGAGCATTTGTTCCCATCAGGAATCTTCCACCCGGCAGCTGGACCATGCTAGTTGCCTGTGCATCCCCTGCAAAGGAGACTGATGAATAATATATGCACATATATAACTAAGCATTAATATTCTGATAATATGTAATGTTCATAATGGTACAAAAAATAAAATATGGAGGCTCAAAAATTTGGCTTTAAATTCTTGTTCTGCTACTGAATTTGCTGAGAACTCAGGCAAATAACCTAATCTGGTATTTGTTCATCCATCCAATGGGATAACATCTACCTTACAGATGGCAGCTGTATGAATTAAAATAACATGTACAGGGGCCAGCGCTGTGGCATAGCAGGTAAAGCCGCCGCCTGCAGTGCCGGCATCCCATATGGGCTTTGGTTCGAGTCCCAGCTGCTCCACTTCTGATCCAGTTCCCTGCTAATGGCCTAAGAAAGCAGTGGAGGATGGCCCAAGTCCTTGGGTCCCTGTACCCACATGGGAAACCTGGAGGAAGCTCCTGGCTCCTGATCGGTGCAACTCTGGTCATTGCGGCCATCTGGGGAGTGAACCAATGGATGGAAGACCTCTCTCTCTGTCTCTCTCTCTCTCTGCCTGTGCCTCTCTGTAACTCTGCCCTCAAATAAACCAATCTTTAAATAAATAACATGTGCGCAATACTAAACACATGGGAGATTTTCCTGTACCTCTTTATGCCTTTACACAACCCTTTTTCCAAACTAGGTAAATCCAGAAACTATACCCTGAGGTACATCTGGTGTTTTCTGCTGCCCACACTTCTGCTTATGCTGCTTCTCTGCCTCTTCCTGTCCACTTGTTGAATACTTATCAATGCTTTTTTTTTTTTTTTGAAAAGCAAAGCAAGAAAGACAGAGATAAAGATCTCTTCCATCTGCTGGTTCACTCTTGGAATGCCAGGAACTCCATCTGGGTCTTCCATGTAGGTAGCAAGGATCCAAGTACTTGAGCCATCATCTGCTGTCTTCCAGGATGTGTGTTAGCAAGATGCTGGATTGGAGAAGACGCAGGATTTGATCCCAAGCACTCTAATATGGGATGTCAGCTGTTTAACCTGCTGCACCACAACACCTGCCCCATTTATCAATTCTTAATGATTTTTTCTTATCAATACACTGTGTGCTCCAGAAAAACCAAACTACATCACATGTTGCCAGTGTATTCCTGACTCAAGTGCACCTTGCTTATCATCAAATAATTGAATGAGCTCCTTTATAATTTTGCCATTTGAATTCCTCAGAAAATCATATAATAAGAAGCATCTTTATTCAACCTCATTTCACAGAAGGTAACCAAGATCCCCCAAAGAGCTAACTTTTTTTTTTTTTTTTTTTTTTTTGACAGGCAGAGAGGACAGTGAGAAAGAGAGAGACAGGGACAAAGGTCTTCCTTTGCCGTTGGTTCACCCTCCAATGGCCGCCGCGGCTGGCGCACCATGCTGATCCGGAGGCAGGAGCCAGGTGCTTCTCCTGGTCTCCCATGGGGTGCAGGGCCCAAGCACTTGGGCCATCCTCCACTGCACTCTCAGGCCATAACAGAGAGCTGGCCTGGAAGAGGGGCAACCGGGACAGAATCCAGCGCCCTGACCTGGACTAGAACCCGGTGTGCCGGCGCCACAAGGCGGAGGATTAGCCTGTTGAGCCGTGGCACCGGCCCAAGAGCTAACTTAAATAGCTAGTTCAGGGTGGTGCTGGGGAGTAGTAGATTACGAGACAGAGGTCAGCATCCCATATGATGGCTTGGGATAGCAGTGGAAGATGACCCAAGTGCTTGGGCCCCTGCAACCACATGGAAGACCTAGCAGCTCCTGCATCCTGGCTTCCAACTGGCCCAGCTCCTGCCATTGTGGCCATTTGGGGAGTGAACCAGCAGATAGAAGACCTCTCTCTCTCCCTTTCTCTCTCTGTAACTCTGCCTCTCAAATAAATCAACCCTTAAAAAAATAGTTCGTTAGCAGGAGACAAGACAACATCCAGATCTCTTTACTTCCAGTTCAGTCCTGTTTCAAATAAGCCCACGTCTCTAGCTTTCATGGTGTCTCCAGGGAAGGCTGTCCAAGCACTCCAAGTTCCCCAAACACAGAGCCCACCTCTTTAGATGTCCCTCAAGAATCTATCTCTTAGCTCCTTTTTTCATCCTGACACACTGACTTCATCTACTCCCACTTTCTTCAACAGACTTCAAGAACAAGCAGAAGAAAAAGGGGCCGGTGTTGTGGCCTAGCAGGTAAAGCTGCCGCCTGCAAGGCCAGCATGCCACAGGGGTACCAGTAGTTCCAGTCCTGGTTGTTCCAATTCTGGTCCAGCTCCCTGTTGATGGCCTGGGAAAAGTAGTGGAAGAGGACCCAAGTGCCTGCACCCCTGCGGCCCACATGGGAGAACAGGAGGCAGCTCCTGACTTCTGCCTGGCCCAGTCCCCACCTTTGTGGCCATCTGGGGAGTGAACCAGCTCGATGGAGGATCTCTGTCTCCCCTCACCCGCTGTAAGTCTCTCAAATAAATGAAAAAAAAAAAAAAAAAAAAATTAAATCCTGAAAAAAAACCCACAATTACTCATTAAAAAATAAACATCTAAGTGCGATGTATGAACTTTACTTTCACCCTGATGCAACAAGCAAGTTATAACTTGAAAACAATTTTGAGAAAGATGAATTTGAACAGAGTGCACAAGATATTAAAGAACACTATTTTTCGGTTGGGGACTAGCAGGATAAATTTTTTTTTTTTTTTCGCGACTTCTGGTCTTTGGCTATTCAAGCAGAATCTGTATGAACAAAACTGTGTCATGCCTGGGACTCAAAGTAGTTCCAGGAGAGGGAGGGCAGGAAACTGAGAAAGTTTGGCCACCAACTGCCAACTGACTTAGGTGCAGGACGCATACGTGGGGGCTCCCTATGTTCTCTCAACTTCATGTTCAGAGGATTCCAATATCGGACGGCAAAGTAAAAACCAGTGAGCAGAAGCTGTGAAGCTTCCTCACGCTGGCGGCCTCCTCCCGCCGCCGCCACTACCTCCAGGAAAATACAAGAGCTACGGTCCCGCTCCCCGCGAGCGCCCCAGCCCTTTCCCGAGCCCCCGGGGCAAGTGCTGCCCGCGCCAGGCGGGCAGGCAGCACACTGACCTAGCTCGAGCCAAGAGCCCGACAGGAGCACCACGGGCAGCAGCGGCGGCCAAAGACCCATGCCGAGCGCGGGGCAGGAGACGCAGCGTGGAGCTGCTGCGCATGCGCGCGCGCCACCGCCGCCGCGCGCGCGTGCGCAAAGCCCAACCCATGCTCATGCTCCCGCCCCCGCCCCGCGCAGCAATCGTCAGCCGGGGACGCGCATTACAGGGTGAGGTAGGTGTTGCTTCACCAGCCTCCTCAAGGTTTGGTTGAGAGGCCCTTGCCATCCTCGCAGGCATTAAATCTTACATTCAGACTGTAGGCCGTATCACAGCCAACACCGCAGAAGGGTTTCAACAACATTTATTGCACTCAGCGTAGTAACACAACTTCACCTTCCAGGACTACAGAGTATAAAACAACTTCAAAGGAACATGGAGGAGGAAACAGTCATCCGGGTGTGAGACGAGCCGGCGCTAGAGCGCTCAGGACCGACCGTTTTACACAAGCAATGTTGATTGAAAACAACCACCTGTGTGTAGTAGCCCCCACCCCTTATTACACTGGCCTCTAATTTTGTTTCTCTTTATAATTGTACCTCTCAATTCCCTTGCTTCTAGCGCTTGCTCGTCTGCATTTTCTGGGACAGTGTTCCAGCACATCTGTTTCAAGTGTGAAAGTCCAACTGATCCAATAATTTTACTCATAACAAAGAAATGGATGCTTTCACAATTTTAAATTGTAATTGCATAAACATTTAAAACTTAAATGTGTAACAACAGGAAACTGTTGGATAATTTTTAAATATATCCATAAGAACAAATTATTAAACCATTAAAATTTGTTTTCCAAGGAATTTTAATAAAGTAAATAACATATGCTTACTAACAAGTTTGCTACTACAGCTAAAGCAAAACATCCTGTTCACTGGGTAAAAGGATTTGCTTCATGTGTATATATTCAGTGCAATTTAAAAAATACTGTAATCATAATTTCAGAACATTGTAATTTGAATAGGTGCCAGTATTGTTCTCCCCTCCCCCCAATGGGCAAAGAAAATTCTTTTGAAAATCATTTGGAACTTGGACAAAAATCCCACAGCTGTTTTTCAGGATCACTCTGGAGTCTTCAAAATTCAGACACAAGAGAAGCTGCAATTCAACCTTTGAGAGAAGACATTCCAGCTCGCATGATCTCATCAACCAAGAGAATGTTGGTTGCAATCACAGTGCTGAAATGAAGAAAAAAAAATATCATGGTTCTGATGTAATGGACCCTAATTTAACTCACCATTTCCAACTAAAGCAATACATATCACCACCAATTCTATTTCTCCTTATTCTACACAGAAGGCTGGTTTAGCCCCCATGCTTTCAACTCATCAAATTATGGGAGAAGAGAGTAAGGTAACTAAGGTAACGAAGCGAAGACAGTAAGGTAACTGCCCAAAGATTATTCTAATTTTGGTTTTCCAAGCTTACCAGGAGTGAAGAAGCTGTTTCTTCACACAATAGTTATCCCAAATGCCTACTTCTGCTGCCACCATTGGCTCCCCTGAAAGATAACCAACTCTTCTTAAAATCAAGCATTAGTACACTGTAATACAGGATGTCTAAAAGAACAGGGAACACTTTCTCTATTTTATGAACAAAACTATTTCTAGAATCTAAAATAAAGCTGAGAGTGTTACAAAATAAAATTTTTAAAAAGGGGTTAGAGCTAGAGAAAAAAAAAAACCACAGTATTTGGCTCATCACTGATTACTCAAATGATGACTCCTGTCCATGATATCTTTGACGAGTAGTTAATTTCTACTTAGAAGACTACCAATGAAGGAGTGCCTTCTTTGGTTACATTTACCAAATGTTTGAACATCTCAGTTGTTTTGGACACATTCCAAATTATCCTTATTTAAGACTAGCACTTAAATAGAAACTGGCTAAAATGGGCGTTTCATTTTCTTCATTCCAGACACTGTTCCTATGAAACTGATAATGTAGACAACAGATCATACACATACGGCATTATCTGCCTTCCACTTTGTACTCATATAATGTGTTACAAAGGCTAAGAACAGGTCCCTTTTCTGGCATTACTTGCTCTCTTTTATCTATCTAGTCATTCATTTTTGACTCCAGAGTTCCCCAACAGTAGTTATCAAAACTGCAAAGCAACTCTCCAAGATTCCTTTGTATCCATTTTCCAGCTCTCCTGGTTTCACCTCATCTTCTACAAACTGCTGCCTTCCCTTACCTGTGTTCAAGTCCACACCCACAAGTTGACCTGATTCAGAATGTTCTGTTCGAATTTTAACTAATGTTTCCTGGAGGTCAAAGCCAGAGTTCTGAGCAAGAACCTAAAAGTAAACAAATTAGATTCATCAGTTTGCAACAAAACAAAAGCAAGCTTACATTCAAGCATTAACTACTTTTTAAGATTTCTAGTTCAGGAGTTATCTCTCGGGGCCAGACTGTGGCATAGCGGGTGAGCTGCCGCCTGCAGAGCCCACATCCTATGTGGGCACCAATTTGAACCCCAGCTGCTCCACCTCCCTGCTGGTGTGCCTGGGAAAGCAGCAGCAGATGGTCCAAGTACTTAGGCCCCTATACCAACATGGGAGACCTGGAAGAAGCTCCATATTCTTTGTTCATATCAGCCCAGCTCTGGCTGTCGCAGCCATCTGAGGACATAATCAGTGGGTGGAAGACTTTTCTCTCTGCCTCTACTACTCTGAAACTACTCTTACAGATAAAAGAATCTTGGAAAAAAAAAAAAAAAAGGAGTTATCTCTTGCCACCTCAAACTTCAGATATTCAGGTCTCAAGAACTAAACATATCGAGATAAGGGAATCCCTATTCTAGAGACAACTGATCAAATTTACTTCTACAAAATCCCCATTATAAAGATATCATTATCTAGAAGACTTGATTAGCTCAATCATTTTGGTATAGTTTAGAAAACTGACAAATGACAAAGTGGTCACACCTTGGGAATAATGAGCAATGCATCAGCAAATGCTTGAACTCCAAGTTGGGCCCTGCCCTTTACACTGGATTTGTATTTTATCAGGGCTTCTGCCATTGCCACTTCTACTGCACCAGCACCTGGAACCACACAGCCTGTTTGGTGGGAAGAAAAGAGAAATACCAAGTTATAAACAAAAGAAACCAAAGCATAAAAATTACAAAATATAAATTAGAACACACATGTACAAAAGCCATTACTTTTCTCATTAATTCACTATAATTTAAATACCATACTGCATTTGAAAGCCACAATGCAAACAATTAACATATCAAATAGCAAAACCTTCACTGAGCACTTGTGAGTTATTTCTATTAGTTTATTTGTATTCACTTTCAATAATGATATGCTAAGAAAAACTCAGCATACCAAAATGATTTCCAAGGGAAGCTTTTACTTTTGCATGGTGTCTGGCTGTGTAAACTACTGACAAAAGAACACAGTATTCAGCCATGCCTTTCAGAGGTACAAAAAGAATTCAAATTAGCAAAGTTCTTACCATCATCAATAGCATTTTTGACAGCCCTCAATCCATCTCTTATCGCATCTTTGATTTGAGTAAGTGTGTGCTTATTTGGTCCTTTGACCAATAATGTGACAGAGCGAGGATTGTTACATTTCTCAATAAAGGTGAACTTCTCTTCTCCCTGTGTTTAAGAGATTATTTTCAAAACCAGAATATGGTCGTGGGAAGAGTAAACAGAAGGTACGGGCTTACACAGAGAATGTAGCATATAAATAGTACCAGAAACATCAAACACATTGAATTAAATAAAGCAAATTGCTTAAAACAGCAAGTAAAATTATTATTACATATAAAACCAACAAAATCTATATCAACAAAAAAAAAAATCTCATCCTGAGTTTGAATAAACTTTTCTACAAAAGATCTCACGAATAAAAAAAGTACTATTACCTTCAAGAAAAAAAATACTTACCAATGTATATTCATACACAAGTCCTGCATGTCCCAAACAATCAGGATTTAGGTCATCTAGAGAATTCAGAGGTACTCCACCGCAAGCAAGAGTCAGCCTGAAATATTGAAGTATTTTAAGGGAGATGTACAATGTTTCCAGTTACATTCAAGGAGAAAACAATGTTTAGAAAGCAATTTTTCACAATTATATAGCAAAATAGCACCAACGTTCTAAAATGTATTTTAACCTAAACTCATCCTTTATCAAACTGCTGAAAATTCCTCTTCTCCTATGCCTCTACTTAAGCTATGCTTCCCAGGTCAACAAATACCCCTGATATAAAATCTGAAGGTGGACAAGAGCTCTTTATTATGATGAGTGCTTTGGGAGAAATTATTTCTCTGATCCTCTTGATGTTCTGTCTTGACAAGCAAAAGAAAAGCAATGTATGTCACAGTTTCAAAATAAAACAAGTATACAGTGATGTTCACAGAAACATTATTCACAATAGACAAAAAGTAGAAACCCAAATGTCCACCAACAGATGAATGGGTAAACAAAATGTGGTCCATAACTATGATGGAATATTACTCAATCTTACAAAGGAATGAGACTGATACATGTAAATGAACATTATGCTATTAAATAAGCCAGATGCAAATGGACAAAAGAGATTACACTTATATGAAGCAACCAAAGTCATAGACACAGAGGTGTTTGTTTATAAGGGGCTGGAGCAACAGAGATGTGGAGAGTTAACTGTTTAATGGATAAAGTTTGTTTGGATGATGAAAAAATCCTGGAGATGGATGGTGGTGATGGTTGCCCAGCTTTGTCACTAATCCAGCTGTCATTAAATGGTATACCTAAAAATGGTTACATTAGCAACTTTTACATTATTTATATTATCACAAGAAAGCATACAACAAGCAGAGGGAAAGAGGAACAATCCTTGTTGGTTTGCAAAATAAGCAAAATCTGTAAGAAAAAGTGCTACCCCGTACCTCTCCATATTTCTCCTTTTAGCCCTGCGCAGAGCTACTATGCCTTCTTTTGCAAGAGCATCTAAGGAAAAGGGGTCAATTCCCTACAACAGAAAGAAAAATCAGCTTTAACATCTTCCATCTTAAAAATGATAGACTATTTAGCTTATAAATCAAACTTTCATTCTTACCTTTTGATTAATAACAACAAATCCTTTATCTGAATCACC